ATAAATGGGCCAACCACCTGAACAGACACCTCACCAAAGAAGATATACAGATGGAAGATAAGCACACACCACACCACCACATGTCCTTAGGGATATACAAATTAAAACAACAATGAGATACTACCACACACCTATTAGAAGAGCCAAAATCCAGAGCACTGATAACACCAAATGCTGGTGTGGATGTGGAGCGACAGGAACTCTCATTCATTGCTGGTGGGAATGCAAAATGGTACAGCCACTTTGGAAAAAAATCTGGCAGTTTCTCAACAAAACTAACATGAATTTATATGATCCAGTAGTCACACTCCTCGGTATTTACCCAAATAAGTTGAAATCTTATGTCCGCTCATGGATGGTTATAGCAGCTTTATCCATAATTGCCAAAACTTGGAAGCAACCAAGATGTCTTTCAGGAGGTGAATGGGTAAATAAACTGTGATACATCCAGACAATGGAATATTATTCATCACTAAAAATAAATGAGTTATCAAGCCATAAAAATATGTGGAGGAACTTTAAATGCGTATTACTGAGTGCAAGAAGCCAATCTGAAAAGGCCACATACTGTGTGATTCCAACTGTATGACATTCTGGAAAAGGCAAAACTATGGAGGCGGTAAAAAAAAAACAACAAACCAGTGGTTGTCATGTATTGGGGGCAGGGAGGGATGAAAAGGTGGAGCACAGAGGCTTTTTAGAGTAGTAAAACTGTTCTGTATGATACTATGATGCTGGATACATGTCGTTATACATTTGTTAAAGCCCACAGAATGTATAACACCAAGAGTGAACCCTAAGGTAAACTATGGACTTTGAGTGATGATGTGTCAATATTGGTTCATCAATTGTAAAAATATATTACTGGGGGGAGATGTTGGTAGTGGGGGAGGACATGCATGTGTAGGGAAAGGGGTGTATGGGATCTCTTTGTACTTTCTGCTTCATTTTGCTGTGCATCTAAAATTACTCTAAAAAGTCAAGTCTAAATAGAGGAAAATAGGGGCGCCTGGGCGGCTTAGTCATTAAGCGTCTGCCTTCGGCTCAGGTCATGGTCCCAGGGTCCTGGGATCGGGCCCCACATCGGGCTCCCTACTCAGTGGGAAGCCTGCTTCTCTCTCTCCCACTCCCCCTGCTTGTGTTCCCTCTCTCGCTGTGTCTCTGTCAAATAAATAAAAATCTTTAATAAATAAATAAATAAATAAATAAATAAATAAATAAATAAATAAATAAAGGAAAATAAATTTAAAAGGTATTGTAATAAAATTTAGGTTCATATTGACCTTCCTGGTTATGGCCTTAATCTCTATTTAAAAGAATATTGATCAACATTATGAGACTATTACAGATATTTTCCATAAATAATTTTGATAGAAAATCATATAAACCAGATGAATGGGGAGGCATTCTTTTTACAAAAGAATTTGTTACAAGAGTCTAGTTTTGTAAGCAAACCTTTCTACTTAGTATTGTTATGTGTTGTCATATCTACATAAAATAGCTAAACCAGAACTAAGCAGTTCTGTTTAACTGTAAGCTGCTTTGCATATAGTTTCTAAATGATCACCTATAAATCACGTTAAGTCTGACACAGCCCAAAATACAGCATCTTAGCGACAAAACAGGTAAGAGACTCTTCTTCAGAGTAGCCCACTGGGGGAGAATAGGAACATGGCCTTTAAGAAAATTCCTGGGCACAGTTGATAAATGATGAATTTTATCAGCTGATTATTCCATTGTCGTTAACTATCAACCATGCCCACATGTTAAACGTCCAGATTTTGCTGGTGATTAAATCATCTGGAAGAGTGGGAGGCATTTGGTTTGGAAACCGGGAGTCCTAGATTCTCACCCCTGCTCTGTTACCAGCTCTGCAAGCTTAGCCAACTCACAACGTATGAGGGATTGGAAAGAAGATTTCTAAGATTCCTGCCATCCCTAACATTCCATAAAGTAATTATATGTGCAGTTGTAGCTTTGTGTTTTTTACATGCTATATTATTAATATCTTTGAAAAGTTGAAGTTCTTATGCTCAGCAGGGCTACCAGAATCTTAGCATTTTATCATTAAGACCTCATCATTTATTTCCCAGAAGACAGAAATCTGAGATTTTCTCAAGATAGGTGCATTTGTTAGCTGTGCATGTATCTGGAGCTGCAAAGCCCCCCCACCAATAGTCTGTGTTGGTTTCTTTTAAAAACTTGTATTCAATTTCTACAAACACTTCCATCCTCCACTAGGCTTCCTATCTTGATCCTCTTCTTTACTGCATTTTTCATTCTATCACTCTGTTGTGCTGTGATTAAATTTTCTTCTTTGAATAAAAGATGATCATATTTAAATGCTACCACACTGATTGGTGAACTTTTGGGAAATGCTCAATAAAAAAAAGCTTCTCATCAGTGTGTCTACAGAAACACTAAGCTTTTTTCCCCAAGAATTATGCATAGTCTACTTAAAGCCCAGAAACTGTTGAGTGGCATATATGAATGACTCAGATTTCATCTGGGTCAAGGTTTAAGACATTAAAATAATCTGTCAGGATAGAACCCTACCTGAAGAATTCTTGTGTGTGATTGGCTTCGCTGGCATCTGCTTCGCCTTTTTTTTTTTTTAAGATTTTATTTATTTATTTGACAGAGAGAGAGAGAGAGACAGCGAGTGAGAGAGGGAACACAAGCAGGGGGAGTGGGAGAGGGAGAAGCAGGCTCCCTGCTGAACAGGGAGCCCACCACGGGCTCGATCCCAGGACCCCGGGACCATAACCTGAGCGGAAGGCCAATGCTTAACTGACTGAGCCACCCAGGCGCCTCTGTTTTGATTTTTAATTGCACCGTTCACATTTATCTCATCCTCCTCCCCCAACACCCTATTAGGAAGAGCTTTCCCTGGTATTTATTTACTCCCTTCCAGGGTGTTCACCGTGACTTCTTACAGCACTCTCCACCTCCCACCATCCCCACCACTCATCCCCTACCCCCCATTGCATACTGCCATTTCTGATTCCATAGTCATTTTTGTCTTTCAGCAGCCATACTAGATAGGATAGGCTTTTCCACACTTTCCTTTAAAGTAATACCCTTTACGCACTTGATCCTGGTGCTTAGAGGTTGCTCCACCCATTACCCGGTGCGGCTGCAGGTTGTTGCTATGCTCAGGTAGGGAAGCGAGGGACAATGTTATCTGATCTTGCTCATAAACAGGGTTGTGGGGAGGAGGGTGGCCTCTTTTTCTCTGCACATGCCAAGCATAGAGGTCAAGCCCTCAGTCTTAAAAATGTTGAAAAATCACACCCTGAAGAATGAACAGAAAGTCATATTTCCTCTTTTCTGGAGGCCCACAGGCAGATTTCATGTTGCTTTTCCATTTTAGGTATGGTCCTCTCTCAACAAACAGGCTTCGGATACATTGATGTTTGATTTTCCAGTGTGAGGGAAAATATAAGCCAGGTTTTTCTGGAAGGTGCAGTTTAGAAAGGGACACTGCACAAGTATTCATCTGTAAAGAAAGGAAAGAGGAAAAGAACTCACGCCTGTACATTAGGTATTTTTTTTTTCATTTGATCCTCACAACCACCCTGCAGAATAGTTAATACCTCAGTTGATCATAGGAAAAAGATGAAGCTCAGAAAGGCTCAGTAACTTGCCTAAGGACACACGGCTAGGGAGGGGCAAAGCCAAGATCGAAACTCAAGGGTGTTACAACTGAAAGAAAAATGCTTTTTTCCTACAGCACTACCCTGCCTCCTAGTTAACTGGTTAAACTGCAATATCCCTGTAAGATCTGTTGTAGTTTTATTATTATAGTCAAAGGCAAAAAGTAATTGTGGTTTAATCAATGAGGTTCATGAAGCCCTATTCAGAAAAAAGGACTGTCTGGGTGTGAGACCTCTTGGGGTGTCATGCTTTATCCTTATGTTCCATGAAAAAAAAAACCTAAATACAGATTCACTTCATTCAATATATTTAAAGTTCTGAGTAAGTAAAAATATATAAATTGACTATGTTTTAAATTTACTTGGGGAGTTTCTTATTTAAAGGATCTTAAAGTGAATTTTTAAGAGCAAAAGATTCCTTTCTTATTTTTATTTTTGGTTTTGCCCCTGGCATATCAGGTATTATTTAAGAAGGCTATGCCTGTGAGGTTGCATGATCATTAACTCCTTTATAAGGTCTCCAACATGTATTTGAATATTGTGGTATTTCGGTGTTTCCCAGACTTTAATTATTTGCATGTACCTTCATGGTCTTCATTATGTGTGTTCCACTTGTACTGTTATTCACTTACTATTTTTCTTTAAGGGACATGTTTTACTCAAGTAGATGTATTTTTATTTTTATTTTTAGATTTTATTTATTTATTTGACAGAGAGAGATAGTGAGAGAGGGAACGCAAGCAGGGGGAGTGGGAGAGGGAGAAGCAGGCTTCCCGCTGAGCAGGGAGCCTGATGCGGGGCTCGATCCCAGGACCCTGGGATCATGACCTGAGCTGAAGGCAGACGCTTAACGACTGAGCCACCCAGGCGCCCCTCAAGTAGATGTATTTTTAAAAGAAATTTTGTACCACTGCCCTAAGTGTGAAATCAGTATAATTCACAATTAATAGAAATCAACAGCAAACCATTATTACATTCTAGCTAGATAGTATCGTTTGTTGGAGACTTCCATCTGAGGAGGATCAGAAAGCATTCTGGGAGTGTGGAAGACACATTCTTCCACGACTAAAGCTGTATCTCTGTAATCACCAGGATTCAAAGTGTTGAAAGGGGATAACTCTCTCACCAAGTGAGTTAATGTTATTTAATGCTCTTCCTCTGTACCACCAAAAAGATCCTCTCTCTTACTCCCCACAGAGTATTGTAACCCCATATCATTTTCAGAATGAGCTCAAAACTATCCATCAAAGCAGAGTAAGCTTTAAAACATTGATCTCTGAGAAAGTGAATGGTATCTGCTCTCTTTGGATCTGGCTAAATTGATAAACTTGGTTATGTTTCCAGGCTAAAGAGGAAATGATGGATAATCGAAGCTACTCTAATCTGCCAGAAAAGCTGCCTGCCTTCTCTGATTCTGCCCACTTGCCACTGACCACCAGGTCCTTCTATCTGGACCCCATGGTCTCTTTCCACCTGTACCCTGATGCCCCGGTGTCGTCCCCTTACTCTGAAGACCTGCCATTGCTGCCCTTTCCCAGCGATTCCCTGATCATGGAAAATTATGGTGAACCCTGCCCCTTCTCCTTCCCAATGCCTTATCCAAATTACAGAAGGTGTGAATACTCCTATGGGCCAGCCTTTATCCGCAAAAGGAATGAGCGGGAAAGGCAGCGGGTGAAGTGTGTCAATGAAGGCTACGCCCAGCTCCGACATCATCTGCCAGAGGAGTACTTGGAGAAACGACTCAGCAAAGTGGAAACCCTCAGAGCTGCCATCAAGTATATTAATTATCTGCAGTCTCTTCTGTACCCTGATAAGGCGGAGGCCAAGAATAACCCTGGGAAAGTTTCCTCCATAATGGCAGCCACCAGCCACCACACTGACCCCATTTTTAGAATCATTTGAGTCAGTGTTTCTGAATAGAAACAATTTCACAAAACGGAGCCTCTTACAGCAGCATTCAGTAGTTTTTCCTAAACGTAATTTCTGCATAGGGTGATAACAGCTCAAATGTCCACCTGTGCTGGCTATTTCCTACCAGGGTTTCAGATGTACTAAACATGATCCTATGGGGACTGAGAAGATGCATCTTAAGCTTTGGTGATTTCTTTCAAGAACTTTAGAGGAGCAGGCGTCCCCAGGATTCTCTATACCCCTCACTTTGCCCTTCTCCCACACTTGGCCAGAGTCTCAGCTGTGAGAAACACTCCTCCGAAAGTATTGTGAAGTCTGACCAATGAGTAATCAATGCTTGTTAAGCTCTTTGCAAGCCCTTCAATGCTAAGCGATCACAATGAAACTCCCTTGTTTGTTAAAGTCTGGTAGTTGTTATTATTATAATTTGGTGTTGACAGGAAATCTCTACATCTATACCTTACCCACGTCATGATGGGAAAGTGTCCCAGGGTTGAAGCAAAGGTAACTAACAAAATCTTGTCATCTGAAATTATTTTGGAGTCATCTTTTTCCTGCATGCAGAAGACTTCCTCAGGCAGCTTAGTCTAGGGGTTAAGAAGGCTGTGCAGTTGGGGCGCCTGGGTGGCTCAGTCGTTAAGCGTCTGCCTTCAGCTAAGGTCATGATCTCAGGGTCCTGGGATCGAGCTCATCGGGCTCCCTGCTCCGCAGGAGGCCTGCTTCTCCCTCTCCCACTCCCCCTGCTTGTGTTCCCTCTCTCGCTGTGTCTCTCTCTGTCAAATAAATAAATAAAATCTTTAAAAAAAAAAAAGGCTGTGCAGTCTCTGGAATCCAACTGCCTCAGTTTAAACTATAACTCGGCTCCCTCCTCTTCATGTCTAAGTTCGTCATCCACAGAATGAGAATAATACCAACAGCAACTATTCCCCCATATGTTTATTAGGAGAATTAACAATGCCTGACACATAAGTATTCCTAACTATTATTATTATTATTATTATTATTATTATTATTATTGTATCGTCCATAGCATCACCATTCTACAGGTTCTCCTGGCCAGAAAATGGACAGGGGCCACACCTGTCCTTCCCCACCGGCAAAGACAATCACTGCCCCATATCTTGGAGTCTGCCTTCAAAATGTCCCTATTTCCATTCCCATGACTAGTTTCAGCTCTTCCTTCTCCCTTAATTCCCAGGTCCCATCTGTCACCAAGCCCAGTAAGGACGTGCCATACACTGGCACATTCACCTCCACCGTCATCTCTGTGAAGTCTTCCCATTCCCGCCATTACTTGTTCCTTTATTTTGTACACATATTTCCTCACAGATCCTACCCTACTATCTCTACATACTGTATCACCCACTTATCTCTTCAGTAGATAGGGACCAATCTTATTCCTCCTATATTCCTTGCACCCAGCAGAGAGCTTCAAATCAGGCAGATGTTGTGGGTAAATATTTGGTGTTACTATTTTCCTATTCCAATCCTGTCCCGTTTTATCTGGGTCACTGTTGAGTCTCCTCCTGGCCTCCTGGGCTCTAGTCTTAACTGGCTACATTCTCATTCTGATGTTTTTTCTTCAAGCATTTCATGAGCATTTCATTACTCAAAGCCCATGATGTCTTCCTTTTGACTACCATGTTGTTTACATTTATCTGCTTAGTTTTCAAAGCTCCCATCGATCTGGCCCCTTTCCAAATAGTCACACCTTGATTTTCTCATGACACCCCATTTCCTCCAAAAGAGAAAAGCAATCTTGCAATGGCATCCTTCTCTCTTAGCATTTACCTTCTAAACTGGAATGTTCTCCTTTTTCCCTCCATCACTGAAATCCCACCTTTTTTTTTTTTTTTTTTTTTTTTTTTTATCAGAGAGAGACACAGCAAGAGAGGGAACACAAGCAGGGGGAGTGGGAGAGGGAAAAGCAGGCTTCCCGCCGAGCAGAGAGCCCGATGTGGGGTTCCATCCCAGGACCCTGGCCGAAGGCAGACGCTTAATGACTGAGCCCCCAGGCGCCCCGAAATCCCACCTGTCTTATTCAGAAATCCTCCTCCCGCTGCCAGAGACTCCATTGGTCTTTCTTGGGCTCTAACTTTCTGCACCAAATAACTCAGCCTTTTCATGTGTGATCCTTAGCAACATTCTCCTGACATAACTACAAAGTTATGCTCTGGGAGGGCAGTCATCACTTAAGATTCTTTTGGTTGCAAGTAAGAGAAAAATCCAATCCAAATTTGTATAATCAGTAAAGGTTCACATAACTAAAGCATCTAGCTCTAGGCCTGCCTTCAGGAAGGGCTCAGCAACGTCACCGAGAACCTGTTTTGTTTCAGTCTATCATCCCTTTCTCTGGGAATAGCTTCAGTGTCCCCAAAAGGCAGTCAGAGGCTCCTAGAATCGTGTACTTTCTTATTTAGGTTAGAGGAGGAAAGAGAGAGTCTATAACCCGAGATTCTCAACCCAAGTCCTGAGATTTAGTCTGACTGGAGAGCCTGGGGAACATGCCCATGCCTAACCAATCCCCAGAGCGGAGCCGTGGGGTGGAGTGTGCTGACAGACACAGGCTCTACCTGTGGAGCTGGAGGTACAGTCAGCCTCTTTAACCACGTGCACCTGCCAACGGAAACAGGGAGTGTTGGAAGAGGGGAACGGATGTGGGAGAGACACCCACAAATGTCCCTGCATACTTTTTTGGTATTCTCCCCTGAACACGGTGCCAGGCACGCAGGCACACAATGGCTGTCAGATGCCTCCAAATACCAGCCTGTCCCATGGACGTTCAAATGAGAGCAGAATCCAGACTTCTGTCCCCTTGGTCACCATCACCCCCAAGTGGTCGCCACATTTCTGCTCCTCAGCAGGGTCCTGTCTGTTACAGACAAACATGCCCACACCTCTGGTTATTTTGCTTTAAACTACAGACAAATTCTATCTTAGAGTCCGCCAGCCAGCCAGTGGCTCACCTGACCCAGCCTCCGGTCTGCAGGGGATGGAGGCCGATCAGTAGCCCTTAGTCGCTGTAGAGGCAGCGCCCTCCCTCACAGGACTCCGCTGGGATTCATGAGGGCTTCCCACCATGACCGCCTCTCCCAGCACTGGTGAAGCCTGAGCTTCGGGGAATTGAGGCTGCGGTGACCTTTCTCCCCAAAGCCCCCTCCCCGCGTTTCCCCGGAGAAACCCTCCGCCCGCTTGCGCGACCCACGCCTCCCAAGGCGCCCGCCGCCTCTCTGCACATGCTCAGTCCACTCAGTCCACGGCGCTCCTGCGGGCGCGCAGCCGTGGCAACCTGCTCGGCAGCCAGGAGTCAGCTGGGCTCAGGCCCTGAGCCCCAGCTGCCAGAAGGCTGAGGCGGAGGAGTTGGGGCTGTGGGTAAGTCCCCTTGGGGTCAGACCTGTGGCCTTGGGCAGGAGCCCTGGTGGGCTGGGGCAGCGGAGTGTGGTCTTGGGCGCTGGGTGGCACGTCTGAACAGGTCTGTGGAGGACACGACCCTGGGATCTCAGCTGGGGCTAGAGTTCGTCCTGGAGGTGACTGGACTAGGAAGGGAGTCTGTGGCCTAGATGAGGGGTCGGCTTGTTATCAGGGTTAGGCCAGCCGTATTTGTGAAGGGAAGTACTGTTTTACCCCCGGGAGTCCCTACAACCGGGGAGGAGGGAAACATGAACGTATGTGGAGCCACTGATCAGCCAGGTGCTTTCAGTATGTTATCTCCTGCAGCACAACTGAAGGGCGTGGTGACGTGAGCACGCAGCCCGCAGGCTGTGAAGGATTTAAAGCTGGGTTTCTCGAAAGTCACAACACTTGCTTTTCCAACCCCTCCTCTACCTCCTGAGCTGAGGTTCCCGAGGCAGGTGATTCAGAGAACAGCCTGAGCCGCGGTGGGAGCAGGTGGGGTCTGCTAACCGCAGAACTGAGCCCTGCACCAGCCAGGTGCCCTCTGCTGGGCTGGGGGCTGCAACTCGGGTAACAGTGGTGCTTGTTCTCACCTGTTTCTCCTCCCAAGGCCATGGAATCCTCTGCAGGGCCTGGGACGCCTTTGCCCAAATACTGCAGTGTGGCCACGACCCTGAAGTCCCCTTCCAGGACTGGCGCTGCTCCTCCCTGGGGACTCTCCTTCACCTGCCCCTTTGCCATCCAAGCACCCTGGCTCACCCGGCACAACCCGCTCTCCAGGTACTAGTCTCGGCTCCTCTGGCAGAAGTGATGAGCACCCCTCTTGTTCCTCTCCGTTCTTGGCTCTCGACAGTGAACCATGAGGAAGACAACTTGCTTCCTGCGGAGGCTGGAAGGGTTCTTCACGGCGTGGGCTATGATTTGCTCGTGGTATTCTCTCCCTCCTGTCTAAACTGTGCTCCTTGTAGCGCCTTGTAGAAAGGTGGCTGACGTCAGAGTTGGCATGTGAAGAGAAGGCCCTGATAACAAGCCGACCCCTCATCTAGGCCACAGACTCCCTTCCTCGTCCAGTCACCTCCAGGACGAACTCTAGCCCCAGTTAAACTCTAGGCATCACCACTTAAAGAGCTTCCAGCTCAGTTTACCACCAACTACGAGACTAGCCCTCGCATCACGTGAGAAATTAGGGTTTCTGCAACCAACAACTAAGGCGAGGTCTCTGGGTACCTCCTCAGGTTTCCTCAGTATCCCTCAGTGATCCTGGCCTTTCCCAAATCGAATCCTCGGTGGGCTGTCTAAAGTGTGATTGCAAAAGGGAAAGGAAGCTCAGCCCTCAAGCATACGCACGTGGTGTCAGTTCCAGGGACTCGCTTATGTCCATGCCACTCGATTCCGTCTGCCCAGGTTAGGAACATACCAGCTTGAACCCTTAAGAACCTGCTTTCTAGATTCATCTATGTGGACCATCTTTTTTTTTTTTTTAAGATTATTTATTTATTTGTCAGAGAGAGACACAGTGAGGGAGGGAACACAAGCAGGAGGAGTGGGAGAGGGAGGAGCAGGCTTCCCGCTGAGCAGGGAGCCCAAAGTGGGGTTCGATCCCAGGACCCTGGGATCATGACCTGAGCTGAAAGCAGACACTTAACGACTGAGCCACCCAGGCGCCCCATGGACCATCTTGTTTAAAGCCAGAGTTCAGCGTCCCTGCCTCTAGGCTTGCTCACAAAGTAAACAGCTTCTTCAGAAAACCCAAACCCTGACTCAATAATCCCTCCCCACCACTGCACCCCCGCTTTGGTCCTGTCCACAAACCTCTCCAGGAGTAGCTTCTCCTTTTTCCTGTCTCTCAGCCCCTTAGCCAGCTCCTCTGTGCTTCCCCTGCTCAAACACGTCCTCCTCCCTTCTGACCCCTTAGCACAAGCACCTTTCCCATGTTACTCCTTTTGTACTACCATCCGAACGTGCATGCCTCATCCTGGATTCCCACACACTGCCTCTGGATTTACCACCCCAGTGCTCTTTCCTGGTCTGCTGTTCAGTCTCAGGACCAGCATTAATTCACTTGACTATATCCAGGCTAATCACATTTTGATGACCTGAAGCAATTCTCAATCCCCAAATGAGAGTTCCCTTCACTGTCCTCTCCTTCTGCCCCTTCCAGCAGTTTACCTTGTCTTACTGGAAGTCACAGATGGCCAGCCACTTGCTGCATGGATTTCTGTCCCACACAGCCCTCTATGTCATATGCACACTACGGTCCTGCTCAGATCTGTGAAATGCGTTTCTTGATGTTTTTAGGGCTTGGTCTTCTCCACTCCCTAATTCCATTTGCTTTTTCCCAGATATGCATCTTACCACCTGTGTCTCCACATTGCTGACTCAGCATGGCAGGGGC